CTTTCCCTCGGCGAACTCCCTGTCAGAACGCGACCGGAGGGCCCCCGCCGGCCTTTCCCGGGCCCAAACAGCACCTGCTGGAACTGCGGTAGCGGGGCCGCAGCTCCGCCGGGTCCCGAAGTGGCCGCCGTGTGAGCTGCGCCTCAGGACAGCCGGGCTGAGGGGCCGGGCCGCGGCTGCCCGGCCTGAGCTTGGCGGGACCGCGGCCGCGCTGAAGGGGTGGCCGGGCTTGGAGCCCCTTCGCATCCCGATAGTCCCTATGGCACCCCGACAATAGCCAGCCCATCCCAAATGTCCCTTTCACATCCCAGCAGTCACTCTGCCATCCCGACAGTGATTTCAGCTCCAGCCCCACAAGCTTTATTTATTTCACTGCCAGTTCTGCCGTTTCAGCTCCAGCTCCGCATCCCCCCTTGCACCACCGCCAGGTGAAACCGCTCCTGGTTCTCCTAGATTTTATATGTATAATATATAATATAAATATATATAGTGTATGTATATATATATATATATATAATATATAGAAATTATATACATATAATTATATATTATATACATATAATATAAGAGTAGGTTTTAGTTTTAAGTAAGTAAAAATATAACTTAAATGCCTTAAGAGTCTGTGTTAGCTAGTGAAAAGCCTTATTACCCAGTTTAAAGTTCAGTGCTACCCTTCACAGATTCAACATAGCTCTAGACATAATGAAAATATAGCTTACATTTCTAGATAGAACAGATAGGGTACTAACCTATACGTAAGATTTAGATAAAGAGAGCAGTGCTTTCACATGTTAGAATTAAGCTTGGATCAGTGTAGAAAGTTTTGGTTTAGAATCTTGTTTTTAGCTGTTTGGATGATTTACGAAGTTAATCCCCTATATTGGGGATCACAGACACACACACACACCTGAAGAAGAAGAAGAGCATCACCATCATCATCACCAGCTGCTTCTGTGGCCCAGGACAACAGGACTCCATGTCCAGGACATCAGGATTTTATACCAGAGAGCTGCTGCTCAGAATTTAGGACTTTATGCCAAAAGCTTTTAGCACAGACTTTAACTCTCTGAACTCTTTGCCTTTGATGAGACTGATGTTTTTATACAATAAATATCTTTCCAGCAACCAACAACTGTTTGTGTCTCCTTGAGACCTGGAAAACCCCTTGAATCCCCACTGAAGCATCGACACCCTCCCTTGCCTTGCCTTATCTTTTCTACCCCATCCTTGCCTTTCCCACTTCTCCCTTGCCTTGCTTTTCCTAACCTTTCCTTGACTTTCCCATCCCGTCCTTGTCTTTCCCACCCCATTCTTGCCTTTCCCACCTCTCCCTTGCCTTTCCCAGCTCTCCCTTGCCTTACTTTTCCCACCCATCCCTTGCCTTTCCCACCTTTCCCTTGCCTTCCCACCTCTCCCTTGTCTTTCCTACCCCATTCTTGCCTTTCTCACACATCCCTTGCCTTTCCCACCTTTTCTTTGCCTTGCTTTTCCCGACCTTTCCTTACCGTTCCCAACCTTTCCTTACCTTTCCCACCCCATCCTTACCTTTCCCACCTCTCTCTTGCCTTTCCCACGTTTCTCTTGCCTTTCCCACGTTTCTCTTGCCTTTCCCACCCATCCTTTGCCTTTCCCACTCATCCCTTGCCTTTCCCACGTTTCTCTTGCCTTTCCCACTCATCCCTTGCCTTTCCCACTCATCCCTTGCCTTTCCCACCTATCCCTTGCCTTTCCCACTCATCCCTTGCCTTTCCCACTCATCCCTTGCCTTTCCCACTCATCCCTTGCCTTTCCCACTCATCCCTTGCCTTTCCCACTCATCCCTTGCCTTTCCCACTCATCCCTTGCCTTTCCCACTCATCCCTTGCCTTTCCCACTCATCCCTTGCCTTTCCCACTCATCCCTTGCCTTTCCCACCTTTCCCTTGCCTTTCCCACTCATCCCTTGCCTTTCCCACTCATCCCTTGCCTTTCCCACTCATCCCTTGCCTTTCCCACCTTTCCCTTGCCTTTCCCACTCATCCCTTGCCTTTCCCACTCATCCCTTGCCTTTCCCACTCATCCCTTGCCTTTCCCACTCATCCCTTGCCTTTCCCACTCATCCCTTGCCTTTCCCACTCATCCCTTGCCTTTCCCACTCATCCCTTGCCTTTCCCACCCATCCCTTGCCTTTCCCACTCATCCCTTGCCTTTCCCACTCATCCCTTGCCTTTCCCACTCATCCCTTGCCTTTCCCACTCATCCCTTGCCTTTCCCACTCATCCCTTGCCTTTCCCACTCATCCCTTGCCTTTCCCACTCATCCCTTGCCTTTCCCACCCATCCCTTGCCTTTCCCACTCATCCCTTGCCTTTCCCACCTCTCCCTTGCCTTTCCCACTCATCCCTTGCCTTTCCCACTCATCCCTTGCCTTTCCCACTCATCCCTTGCCTTTCCCACCTTTCCCTTGCCTTTCCCACTCATCCCTTGCCTTTCCCACTCATCCCTTGCCTTTCCCACCCTCGCATCCCTGGGCGATGTCGCCACCTCGCGGCCGCCGGGCGCGTTCCCCCTCCCCGGGCTCACCGGAGGGAGGGGTGGGTGGGTGGATTTTGAGTGGGTCCTGCAGGGAAATAAATCCTGGGGCCGTTCCCTCGCAGGGATGCTCCCCTGCTCCTCCTTCCCGCCGTGACCAGCCTGCCTGAAAAATAACTCCAAACGCCCGCTTCAGACTCCTCTGCTCCGGGCAGCTGAGCCATGGCAGTGCTGCCTTGTCTGTTCAGAAATTTTCCTTTTGTTTGTGGTTAAAGCAGTTGGAGGATAAAGCTGCTCTGTGCGCTTCAGCTACAGTGACAGCTGTGGGCAGGGGCAAAGCACGGCCCTTTCTGTGCCTTCTGTTTTAGGGATTGTCTTCCTTTAACTTAGTGCTGTGCAGAAGGCTCAGTGCTAGCTAGATCAGCCTGGGACTGATCCCTTACTCCAACCCCTCCGGTCATTTATGCTTTGGGAGAAAGTGGGAAAGAACCTGTTCTCGAAATTCCACAATGCGAAGGATGAGTGATCCAGGTTCAAAATGCTGTTGTTGAGCAAAACTGGGCACAGCTGGATACACAACTCTGAAAGTTTTCACTGAATCTTGCTTAATTTTCAGATTCTGCCTCTTGGGCTCTTTGTTCAAACTGCTGAAATTAGAAAGAATAGAACAGACATGTAGGATTTAAGCTGAATCTCTTCTGGAAACCACCTCATGTTTTGTTAATAAATTGCCCCATGAAATTAAGTGACCATATCTCTGGTGGGACACAAGAGCCTGGCAGTGGAGTGTGTGTCCAAGGTGGTGGGCAGGAATTTCTGAAGGTACGAATGGGCTCTGAGCTCAAGGTGCTGAACACACGGATGTGGGGTAGAGAAGACCTTGTGAAGGAGCAGGTTCTGGTGGTTACTTGCACTGTGGTGTCCCTTTACAAAACAGGCTGGCTCTGGTTTGCTGCTGAGGGTGCAGGAGGAGTTTGGAAAGCAGCAAGTCTGGAGCAGGGGGAGTGTGGTGAGGCACGGCTCAGGAGGCTGTGCAGGAGAGCAGTGAGGAAACTGGGGACAGCAGGAGATGCAGCGCAGTCATGCATGGAAACCAGTCCAGAGGAGGGGACACATCCACCAAGGAAGCTAAAGGCTGCAGGGTTCATTTGAGGATTTCAGGTATGACGCTGGAAGGTTAAATGGTTCACAATAAATGAGACCTCTTTTCCAGGAGGGGTTTTTTTTTCCCATTAGTTGCCATCCCTGTGGCTCATCTTGCTGCCTGTCCAAAGGGATTTCTGTTTCTGACAAGACTTCCAGCAAGAGCTCCTCCTCAGCCCAGACAAATCCCATCCAATTCTTGGATTATGCCACTCACATCAAAAAGTTCTCATGGTTTTGTTCTGCACTGGATCAAAGCAAAGGCAGCTACTGCGAGAACACATCTTATAAGCTGTGAATATTATTATCAGCTCACAGAGTGGAATTTTGTTGTGCTCTTCTGGGGGTTTTCATGTTCTTCCCTCAGCTGTGCAAATGAATCACAGTCTGAGTGTAATATACAGGCATCAGCTTTTTATTATGATTTAAACTCTGGGCTACTTACTCAATCAGGAATTGGAAACACATGGCTTTAGTATGTAAGGCTTTTTTACTCATGAAATAGTAAAACTGTAGTGGCAGCTTCCAGGGACTTTCAGTCCAAATTTCAGCGTGCCTTCAAAAGGAATTGGGGTAAAAGAGCAAATTGTCCTGCGGTGAACCTTGCAGTGCAGAAATTTGTGATGCTTCTTTTAATCACCTTCAGAGTATTTTGTGGATGTAACTCATTCCCTGAGATCCAATCTCCTCTAGGAGATTTGCTCAGTCATGATGTTGAGGAGAAGGAATGAACGTATTTGTAAACTTAGACCAGTTATACTAAAATGAGGATTAAATGAAGGAAGAAAACTGGGGAGAATATATAAGACTATGGTACAGAGGAAATTTTGTAATGCATTTTGAAATGGTGCTTGTTCAAAAATGGAGCTACATTTACTAAAATACAAATCAAACTCACATAATGGCCAAATAAAGGTGTTATAGCCCCCAGTTCAGAAAAAAATTCAAGTCAAATTAACCCAGATGTTTAGGATTTACCCAAAAGGAAATTGAGGCTGAGCAAAGTATGGAGAGAAGCTTGTTTTTCCAAAACTATTTCTTGTCAAGAATTTCTTTGTGTCCTACTTTTTATTTTGCCACAGCACAGAGAAATATATTATTTTCTGGGTTCTAAACTTTATTTTTAAAAAAAGTTTTCTAAACTTTATTTTTCAATTCCTTTACTAGGACAGGGAGAGAAGGATGAATGCTGTGCTGCCCAATAAGGAATGTAACTTTTGGGTTTATTTTTTTACGGTGCACATTAATCCGTTGTTTTTCCCTCAAAAATAAAAATAAATCCAAACAAACCCTGCAACTCTTGCCGAACAGTCTGGCCTTATCTCCTTCTTCAAGAGTTCATTCACAGTTCCAGCCAGCTGGATTTGTGTGGCAGGAGCGCACGAGGCTCTGCGCTTTCGGTCAGCTCGGAGCTTTCCTGGTGTCCCTGGGACATCCCTGGCAGAGTTATCCCAATACACACCCCCCTGGAGATGTGATCGTGGTACAGCCCAGAGAATTCCAGGTTAAAAAGCTGAGGGATCAGTGTTTGCAGGAGCCACTTTGGAGCTGGATGTGCCCCGAGCAGCGTCTGACCCCAGCCAGGTGAGTGCCTGACTGGTGTTTACTGATTAACACCTTTATCACCAGGAAAGAAAACTCTGTGTGAACCAAAATGAGCCAACACAGTGAGAAAATGCTGGATTACTTGAGTTTCTTTAATATATACTTCTTTCATAAAGTCACAGCTCTGTGCTAACTCTGAGCCAAACTTTATTGCAGAATTTATTGCCAAAGCATGAGTGCTGTCCTTTCTTCTGGGATAACCAGTTCCACTCTTCTCTCTACAGGCATCCTTTACAGTTATTCCAAAGAATGGGGCCAGACTAATAAAGTGTGATTTGATCTCTGCTCATATAATTCCATTTGCCATCCTGTCTCTGATCTTCCAAAATATTGTCAGTTCTCACTGTGGATTCTTTCACTGTGAAATTCAAGGGGGGTTTTAAATGTATTTTTTTGTTTTCATTGTTCTTGTGAAGGAGGGATTTTTGTACTGTATATAAAATAATTTATAAGTGGATATATAAAATAACAGAGTGGTCTGAAAAGGAGTTACTGATTAATTTGCAATCTCTTTTTTTAAACTAACTTTTAAGAAAAGGCAGAATGGAGAGGTAGTGGAATTCTGGAGAAAGCTGTTTCCTGTGGCTTCAGCACAAAACCTTGGCTTGAATGAATCGAGTTACAATGCTGTTTGTATTTTCTTCAGAGCTTTTTATGGATCACTTGACTGGATTAATGTTAATTGTAACAATTGGCATCTACTGTAGTAAATTACTTTTTTAAAAAAATCTAACTGGAATTGTACTTCTCTGATGTTAATTGAAAATCTGTCTGATTTTGAGGCTATACTGGAAGCCACTGAAGGACAAGGTTTCTTGAAACATGGAGACACTTGTGCACTTGGGAAAATCCTGAAAGGAGCCGTGGGTTTTGTCTCTGCTTGCAATGATCTTTAAGAATTTCAGGGCTTTGTTGAAGGTTTCACCTGAAAATCAGGTGGAGGCAAAAGTCTGCTTTGCTGCTGTCCCATTGCTTTTTAAATCTTTGCCCTTGCCTGAGGGGAGAGAGAGAGAATAGTTAAAAGTGTTCCACAGGCAGCTACTCGGGGATAAACTCCCTTGGGAAAGACAAGGAGAGGAGAGAGGGAGTCCAGCCAGAGTTCATCCTCTCTGGGTGTGTTCTGCCAGGACTTTGAGCGGTTTTGACCATGAGATCAGCATTGTACTGCTGAACAATCACAGGTGTATATTGATTTCACTCAGTTCTCAAGCTGAAAAGATCCCACACACCCCTGACCACCAGCCCTACACATTTGGGGTGTTTCTGCTCCTGCCAGATGCAGTTGTTCCCCCTTGGGCACAGTCACCTGCAAGGGCAGCTTTTCTCAGCATCTGTTTGCTTCTGTACCCCCATCCTGAAGGGTCAGAAGGAGTTTGCACTTTATCTCACCAGGAGCTGGTGAGATAGAGAGCTGGAGGGAGAGCAAGCTGTGAAAATCAGTGGCAGGTTCTTGGCAGAGCTCCTGCTCCACTCCTGGGCTTAGGAAATGTCAGGCTTGGTCCTGACCCAGCACCCACCCTCTGCAGTGCAATCTGAATTCTGATTCCCAGCTGAAGTGCCACAGAACCTCTCCTACCCCAGTGAGGCCTGAAAGAAAAGCCTGGTTAAACACTGTGCTGTTGCAGAACAAGTATTGTAATTAATTTTATGGCAGAAAAGCTTTTCTCTATAGCCTGGTGATTCTGCCAGGCCGTGATGCTGTCTGTGAAAGCAAACAGCTTGTGGAGCTCCTGATGTCCAGCTTCTCTCCCCCACATTCCTGCTCAGAAGTGATAGGATATGGGCATGTACTCCCAGATGAAAATATGTGGTTTCCTTTCTCGATTTTAAGAGTGGCAAAACTGCACAGCAGAACAAGGTTGGCACCATCCTGCTTCTGCAGGAAAGCAAATGCTTGTGTCTCCTTCCCATGGCTATTTCTTGAGCTAACGGAGAGACCTTTATATGCCTGTGAAAGTCCTGAGTTACAGAGGCCATAAAATAGTCAAACTAACCTTATTTTATTGGAAAATCTAAATACTGGCTGAAAGAAGGACTAATGCTGCACAAGCAGAGCCCAGAGCACAAAATAAACTTGGTGTTTCACCCAGTCAGGGAGAGCACTGCCACCCAAAACAACAGAGAAGCCCTGGCTCATGGTGCTTAATACTGGACAGGGTGTTATTAAATTATGCTGTGCAGCAAATTTGATCAAAATTGAATATATTCTTACTAATGCAATTGCACATCCACACAACATGGATTTAACACTGACTTCATACATTTTTTATTGGCTTATGTAGAAGAAGAGAGGATATCCAGTCCAGCATAAAGCCTCCCAGTTAATGTCTTGAGCTGTTTAAAGAATTTGAATGAGTAAATTTCTCTAGAAGAGGTGCTTCTGCTGCAGCAGTAGCAGTGGACAGCCAGCAGTGAAACCACAGTGTTTATGAAGTGGAAGCTTTTCAGCTGCTTTAATTTCCCGTGCACTGTTAATACAGGTTTGCAAAGCCATTGCGTTGTAAGGACCTGTGATCACCCTGCACAGCAAGAAAGAGCAATAACCTTTTCCAGCTGGAGCTCTGGAAGTTCCTTTAATTAGTTTTACAGAAAACCAGTTCAGAGTGATTTAAAGCTTTTGGCTGCTGGGCTGCTTTTTTGGAGGCGCTCCTGGTTTGGTTGTTCTGAAGCAAACTATGGAAACAGAGATGTTTGGGAAAATACCAAACTGTGTTTGCAAACAGTGAAATACTTGGGTCCCTGATTTGCTCTTGTAGTCCAAACAGTGGCTTTGAGGTTTGCTGAGGAGTGTTGCAGGAGCAGAGTTTGGAGCTGGGAGGTTTTTGTGTGTTGTCAAGACAGGGCACACAGCTGCGGGCACAAAGCAGAAACCTGAGAACCAGCTGTGGGTGGCTGCTAAGGTGACAACTTAGTATCTGCAAATGGACAATTATCTTCAGACTGGATTTATTCAATAACAGAATGGTTTGGGTTGGAAAGCTCATCTCATTCCACCACCTTGGGCAGGGATATCTTCTACTGTTCCAGGCTGCTCAAAATCCAGTCCAGCCTGGCCTTGAGCACTTCCTGGGATGGGGAGACCTCTGGGAAACCTGTGCCAGTTCTCAGGAAATTTCTTCTTGGAATCCTCACCTAAACCTCCCCTCTATCAATTTAAGACTGCTTCCCCTTGTCCTATCACTGTCTGCCCATGTAAAAGGTTGCTCTCCCTCTTTTTTATATAAACTCCCTTTAGGAGCTGAAATGCTGCTCTTAGGCTTCCCTGGAGCCTTCTCTTCTCCAGGCTGAGGCAGCCCAGCTCTGTCAGCCCGGGAGGCTGCCCCAGAGCATGGAACATGCTGTGTGCCTCATTTCTGCCATCCCTCCATGGGATTTCCAGATGGGGGCTCCCAAACCAGCAGGAAGGTGAGCCCAAGGCAGGCGTGGGCCTCAGCTCAGGATCCACTTCTGGAAGAAGCAGTTTCATTTTCAAAGCTGTGCCCAACTATAGCCTTAAATCCCTCCTGGAAATGCACTTTGCCCTTTTAGTCCTGCTGCTGTGCATGGAAATTCCTTGGAATCCTGCAGCTGGAACAGCAAACTGGGGTGTGTGATAGAATTTATGTGTTACAACACACCAAGCCTCCTCCTTGCAGAGGAGTTTCATCTGGCACTGAGGGCCCTCTGCAGCTGCTTGGCCTTTGGGGCTGAAAGTGCTGGGTTTGGTCAGGAAAAACTCAGCCCTGCTGTCCCTGCACCCCTGGGCTGGGATGGGAATGGGAGGATGGATGGCTGAGCTCAACAGCTGCACTACCTGCTCTGCCTCAGGTGTGCCCTGCATGTCACTTGGTTACACAGAATAACAAAACTGAGATGAGAGCTGGTGAATTCTGTCCAGGTTTGTGTATTTATTGCAGGAATTCAAGGATTAGGAGGGTGTGGTTATCCCTCACACGCCTGTCTGGACAGTCAGTGCTGTTTGCTGTGGATCTCCCGTGTAGCAGCTGGGGGAGAGAAGGGTTAAAACAGGGAAATGTGAGTGTAAAGAAAAGCTGTTGGAAAGTTTAACACTCAAAACTCATCTCAGTGCTCTGGTCAAGACCTGGATTTCAAGTGAATGTCCCTTTAATTTATGGCCGCTCCTAAGGCCAGGAGCTGGTATTTACCCAGTGTTAAATGTGATTTATCCGTGCTCTGGCTGGCTCCGGCAGAGGAATCATCTCTGAGTACAAACTGTAAGTAAAACTGAGATTGTTCCATGGTCAGGCTGAAGAGGGGACTCTACACCAGCTCCACTTCACTCTTTTGCTGAAACTCTTTTTCTAATCAGAATGGGAAACTCTCTGGAAAAACAGAGGGGCAGAGAGAGACTTAAAAGCTGAGAGTTTGAAAGCTGAGTGACGTGAGACCTCCTGTACTTCTGCTGATACCACGGGGGAGTGGGTGACCTGTAGAGCTCTTCAGGGATTTTTTTCCCCTTTCTTTTCTCCTCTGTCCCTCCCCTGGAGTGTTCCCTTCTCTCTGCTGAGCCACAGAGTGTCTCTGAGCTGGGGTACAGTATTTTTGGGACCGTGTTTCTTAGTGCACAGCTCATTCTGTATCACATGGCAGAGCAGGGAGCCCTGGCAGAGCCCTGCCAATGTTTCCTCAGCACTGCAAGGCCAGCAGAGCCAGGGTAAAGCTGTGGGAGTGGAGCAGGGGATGCTCTGCTGCTCTGTGCCCTGGCTGGAGGAACGAGTGTGGTTCTTTGGGAGCTTGAGACATCAACTGAGGGTCCAAAACTAGGAGCTGCTTCAAAAGTAAACCTTGGAATGGGAAGCAGGTTTGCCTCAGGCCATGTCCTGGTAGGTGAATGCCCCAGGAGAGGCAGGCTCAGCTGTGCTCCCCCATCCTCAGTGCTCAAACCACCAGGCTGCTGTATAAAAACTGCACTGACATTCTTGGTGGAGGGCTTTCCAACGGGAAAGAGATATTTTTATTGAGTTTAAGATGGGCAGCTCTGGGTTCCTGTCAAAGTGGGTTCCTCCTGCTTCCCCAGATGGTGATGGGACTTCAGTTCAGTGCCTCCTGGGTGGGGGTGAAACATTTGGCAGCCAGGATGAGCAGCCCTGGCAACCTGAGCCCCAAAACACACTGCAGATGTCACAGGGAGCCTGGAGAGGGGCAGGAGAAGAGGGGCAGGAGAAGAGGGGCAGGAGAAGCCTCCTCCTTGTTGATGTCTCCCTTGTTGAGCAGCCCAGGGCGAGGCAGGCAGTGTTTTATCACCTTCTGTGCAGTGCCACAGAACATTCTGGGCTGCTGTAGAATGGAGTGTTACTCCTGGAAGGACTCACATTCCTGTCTGGCAGATAGGTGGGGAGAAAGGGGAGTGAATGAGGTCATGAAAGACCTGTCTCAGTGAATTAGGCAGTGACAAACCTCATCACCCAGGGGCTATTTTAAAAACAAATAGACTCGGTTTAGAATGTTAGATGGCTCATGGGGAATTTTTAATGTTCAAGAGTGCCAGTTATTATGAAGTAACCTATATCCCACCCAAATTAGTCAGACTGTTTTGTTGTGGTCCCTGAGGTACCTCTTTAAAATTGACAAGTGAATTTGAAGAACTGGTTTGTGGGGGGAAGCAAATCTATCTTCCCTGTCTTGGGAGGCCACCAGCCAAGTGAGAGGCCTTGAAGCACTTCTTTTTTTGAGGGAGATAAGTAACCAGAAAGTAATAGAATCACAAAATAGCTTTGGTGAGGATGGATCTTAAAGCCCATCCCTGCCATGGGTAAGGACACCTTCCACCATCCCACATTGCTCCAAGCTCCATCCAGCCTGGCTTTGGACACTTCCAGGGATGGGGCATCCACAAACAGCTTTCACTCACAAGAACAAAGACCACGACAAATTTGACATTTCTGAGTGTTCCTCATTGCTCTTCTGTATTTTCCCTGCTGTTGCTCACTTGCACATCTGCAAAAGCTTGGTTTATTTTCCCTCAGATCTGTGGAGTCTGACCCAGTTTGTGAGACTGAGACTGAGCTCCCTGCAGCTGGAACAGCGAGTGGCTGCCAGGACGATGCAGTGCCATGCCCCAGAGCAGGATGTTGGTTAATTCAACCTGCATTTGTCTTTATTGCTGTAGGCAAGGAAGGGGAGATACATCTCTAATTCCAGCCTGTGTCCAGAAGGAAGGGGAAAGGAGCTGACACAGAGGGCCTTTCCAAAACAGGGTAAGTTCAGATGCTCTCACCACTCCCTCTCTTGAAGCAGAGACATCCTTCATGCCCCCCAAAGTTCAAACCATCCTGAGTGATTTCTCTAATTGATTTCTCATTTGTAAAATGTTTTAAAGCAATTTACTTGAGCTCTGTGGGTGCGACCATAAACTTGCCAAGTTTGATAGTCAGGATTCTGGGAATTAAGGTCTTAGAACATATTGTTTGGGTTTTTTGTTGTTGTTGTGCTTTTTAAAATACTTTCAGTTCTCATCAATTATTTGCAAATATTTTCTCCTTCTGGGAAATAATTTCCTTGAAATGTAACATAAAGTTCAAAGACAACAGTACAAGCCAAAGTATTGTCACTTAAATTAAGATGGAGAAATGTGGAAATCTGGTTTCATTTGTTTCTAGGCATAAGATTTGGAGTAGATAATTCAAGCTTTAGTGGCCAGAAGGAGACTGTAGGACAGAAAGATGGCCCAGCTCTCCACACATGGTGCAGACTGAGAGCCAAGCCTCACTTTGCTACCTTTCCAATCAATTAGGCAAAGCAAAATATTGGGCTTGTGCCTGGCCTGGGCTCTTTCCTGATAAGAATTCTGTTCAGACAAAAAATACAATCCTTATCTCTAAGATCTTGAGTTTATACTTACCTAGTCTTTAACATAATCTAATTTATAATCTGGGTTTCTTTGTTTTATTTTAAATAAAAAAGTCACCTCATTTAGAGCAAGTTCCATGCTCTCTTGTTAAAGGCTAGGGAGTGGTATCAGCTATGGACCTTCACAGTTTGTCCAATATTGATTTCATCTGGACAGGAAGATGTCTTCATCAGTGCAACTCTTCCGAGATCAGAGGTACCAGGAGCTGAAGGGGCAGTGCCTCCAGCAGGGCCGGCTCTTTGAGGATCCCGAGTTTCCAGCCTCACATGAATCCCTTTACTATGACTCAGCAGCAAAAGGGAAAGTGGAATGGAAGCGGCCAAAGGTAATGGGTGGGTGTTTTTTCACTGTTGAAAAAACAATGGTTTTTTCACTCCTGCTGTCTCCTCCAGCAGAGACTCTTCCACCAAGAGGTGTCTGAGCAAAGCTTCGTTCTGTTTTGTGAATTCTGTGAATTGCCACCCTCTCCATCAGCAGTTTGTCTTTGGTTCTGGTGAAGCCTTAGCAGCAAGTTCTATCCAGAGAGAGTGGAGAGTTTTCCTTTTTTGGTTGATGCCAGCTCTGGTCTCTGCATGGCTGTGCTGTATTCACAATGGATTTTGCCTCTGACTTGTGTAAAACCTCAATTACCCACCAGTGATTTTCTGTGCTAAATGAACAGCTATTATCTCTAAGCCACCAAGACTGCTTGTGTCTATTTGCCACTTCTACTGGCATCTTAACAGGAAAACAAATATGTCACTGGCTTTGAATTGTAACTACTGTAGTTACATTCCAAATCATTAATACCACCTATATTCGGGGTCTCTTAGTTGGTTTGCTCAGAGGTTTTATGCTTCACGTGTGTTTTTAAATCAGTTCACAACCCTAAGCAAACAATTCAGAAGATCACAAACCCATTTCCAGTCTGGCTTTCCATCAGTGTCATCTGTTCTCTTACTGTGACAAGTGTAATGGAGAGGACAGTGGAAGCCTCTAGCAGCATTTTTGCCCTTAAGCATGATGAATTTCTCCTTTACTTCACCCATGCCCACTTTTGGGATTAATCTTCTGGGAGCACAGGCTTGAGTGTCTTTCCTTAGAAAACACGATGCCAATGTGATGTCCTTCATATGCAGCTGGTTCTGTTTCGTGTCCTCTGTGACAGGGGACAACAGATGGGGCTGACCAAGGCTGGACTCTATTTGCCAGAAGAGGCTGCTTCTCTTTTTTTGCTTCTTCTTCTTCTTTCCTGGTGCTGCTCATTCCTCACAGCAGCTTCTCTGCTGGAATTTAGTGAGCAGCCCAAGGGTTGCTTTCCTGCTTCTCATTTCAAGACATGAGACTGAAGAATGGGGAGAAGTAATTTGGGAAAGAAAAAGAAGAACATTCCTAAGTCTGTGGGTTTATTTTTATTTCTGAGCGCTTTCCTGTTTATTGGAGCCTTTCATCCCCTCCTAGAAAAGGAAATACTGTGCAGCACAGAGAGGTCAGGAAGAGTGTTTGTTCTTTCTAGGAGATGTGAAGCAAGAGCTAAACTCTAGCCAAGGATGCCATTTTGGGCCATTCTTGTGCGTATGAGTTTTTTCAAGGTGCTGGTCAGTGGTTTGAAGTCTAATTGTAGGTCAGTGATTAGCTTTGCATTCAATTATTACCCATTAAACATGACGTTAATGTAGGAAACCTCACATATTAATTAATGTTCTATTTACATAAATTTTATGATCATTTATCATAGAACCACGCACAGATTGACCTGACACTCCTGAGATGTTGAACCATATCCCACCAGTCCCTGGCCTCTGCCAGCCAGAACTTCAGAGGGTGAATTCTGGTGTTGATGCCAACAACACAGAACCACAGAACTTTCTAGACTGAAAAACACTTTTAGGTTGAAAAGGACTTCTAAGATCATTGAGTCCAACCCTTACCCTGACACTGCTGAGTCCATTACTAAGCTATGTCTCAAGCACCACATCTACAGGTCCTTAAAAAAACCACTTCCCATGGCAGTCAGTTCCAGTGCTTGACAACCCTTTTGGGAAAGAAATTTCTCCTTGTATCTAATCTAAACCTCTCCTGGTTTGTGAATCCTTTGCTGGTGTTTCAGAACATTGGGCTCTGCCAATTCCCCAGCTCCTCTGAGATAAACCTGTGAAATGAAAACGGAGCTGAGCACCACCATTTCAAAGGTGCAGCATCTTCCAGAGCCCTTCAGCTCATGCAGGAAGCCTCCTGGAGAGGTTTTCTGTGGGGAAAATCTGCTGGTTTGTTGGAAAAAGAGTAAGAAAGATTGTTTTGTGGCCATCCTTTCTGCCCACTGATATTAGCATCAGAACCCATCCTGCTCTTTTCCTGTGATTTCCCTGGAGTTTGCCCCCTCTGCCAGGCTGAAGTGGGGCTGGGGCAGCTGTGTCCTGCCAAGAGGGGATGTCCTTGGCCACCTGTCCTGGTTAATGCTGCCTCTGTGTGGTGGTCCTGCTCAGCATGGGCTGAAAATACCCAGGAATGACTGTCAGTGCTGAATGGATACTTTATCTGCCTCATTTTTAACTAAACCTCGGGTTTGTGTGAACTTTTTCATTGACCTGGCAAAAAGGATGGAATCTCAAGGACATCTTTGTCAGTGTTAAACAAACAGCAGTGATCCCCCAAACAGGGCAGGCAGGCATGTGAGGAAAGAGTGGGTAAGCTTTCTTCAGAGATAAACAGTGTTCTTTAGTTATTCACAAAGGAAAATAGTCTGATCCCACAGAATGAGACTGTTATCATGTGCTTTCCTGGCTTCCCCGCTTGACCCTGTGTTTTATAAGCCCTGATTCTGCTTTCATCTGCATCTTCTCTTTTTGGGAGGGCTGTGGTTGCATCCCTATGTTCTGGGAGGACAGAGCTGGTGTGTGTCCAGGAAAACAGCACAGAAAGACACTGGGCTGCTGAACTGCTTCCCAAGAAACCCCTCCTGTGTCCCAGCCCACAGAGGGACATTGCTCTGTTTGATTCAATTCCCATTAGCTCCAAAGGTCAGACACCTGCCTGAAGGTGGAGAGTTGCATGTGCCCTTTTTCCTAGAAACGCTGCATGCCCATTCTCCACTCCTCTCACCAGTTTCCCAGCATTTTCAGGGGTGGCTATCACCATGCAAGCGAAATTCCAGGAAATAGGGCAGTACTGTGTTCTGGAGAGATACAATGATAGGAATAAATGGAACAAGTGTCTCCCAACTTCCCAGACTGGGGTGTGTGGGATGATCAGGTTGGTGATTTATCCAAGGCTGGGGAGCCAGAGAATTCAGGAGCTCTGACTTCTGCAGCTTCACATGTTTACTGGAGGCAGTTTACTTTTGTTTGCTTCAAACTAAAATGTTGGAAATTAAAATGGTGGAAAATGATCCATTGTCTCAGGAGCTGAAACATCTTCATATTTACAAGTGCTGATTTAAACCCTAAACCCTCCCCTGCCTTGTTACCTGTTTAAGATTTTGCTCTCATTTGGAAGGCAGGGGAAGCTTGGGGCAAATCTCTGTGTGGACACTTAGTCTGGGCGAGCTTCACAGATTTTTGCATTAATGTTCTTTATTCCATAGTGACAGGATTTGTGGTCTCAGTGTCCTCCAGAATATTCAACAGTAACCCAGTTGTCATGTATTTCACGGAATGAGGGTCATGGAAGGCTTGGCTGTCAGATGTAAGCACGCCTGGGTTAAATGTCCCTCAGATGTAATGCTCTTCATCACTGAATTCCTCTGTCTCCTCTGTAGCTGTGTCACTGAAATCTGACCCTGTTTTGCAGTTTGAACAAGACCAGAGACATCTGCTTCTGTCTGGGACTCGTGTGGAGCCCAGTGGTGCCTGCAGGAGAGGGAGGTGTCCTGGCACTGCTTTCAGCGCTTGCATCAGCACTGGGGGAGCAGTTTCGGGGCATGGAGTGGAGTGACAGCTCATCACACTCAGGGATATCTGCCAGGATGGGGCCTGGGGGGAATCCAGAGCTGGAGGAGAGTGGATATTAAAGGGGAATGCCATCAGCTGGCCTGGCAGTGGGGTGCGCTCCTCTCACAGCAGCTGCATTGCTGCCTTCTGTGTGCCAAAGTGATGGGGCTGGGACAGCCCCTGTGAACAGTGACATTTACCTGGTGTGCCAGATCCCCTCTCCATGCTCCCAGCCCCCTTCTGGAGTGTGGCTCGTGGTCTAATGGTCACTTTTTCACATCTGAATGTGCCTTTTTAATTCCTTCAGCCACGTGTTTGTTCTCTTTTCACACTTAAAAATGTGGAGCAACAGCAACCCTCTTGCTTAATCAGAATAGAGGTCCCTCCTCATCCCTCGTCCTCACTCCTGAAGCTTTGTGTGATATAATTGTCATTTTCCTGGAAAAATTTCTTATTCTGCAAAGGCTACATGTACTGAAACATGTAAACTGAAGTTTAGGCTTCTGATTCCCTGCCTATCCCTTAATTGTCCACATTTCTCTGCTGTTGGTGGTTATTGACTCCTGTTCAAGTGTAGGGTAAACACAAGTTGCAAAGCTCTGTGTGCTGTGACATTCGTGTTTGCACTGGAAATAATGGCACATGTGGCATCTGGGAGGTGAGGAAATGTGTTCCAGGGAGGTGCTGAGCTTCTGCTGAGCTTCGAGGGAGCTCACAAATCCTTTTTCATGCCCCAAGCACAGCTGGGCACGCAGAGGTGGCTTCAGGCTGGAGGCTGTGTGAGCCAGTGCCTTGTGGTTCATATGTCTGCTGTGCTCCTCTGGGACCTGCTTGTAGCAGAGAAGGGCTGTGGAAGACTGGGCTTGGCACTGAGATGAAATCAATCCTGAACTGGCTTCTTTTCCTTAGGTGTCTGTCACATCCTGGATCTCAACACCGTGGATGTTGTCCTCCACAGACAGTCCAGCATCCCTCAGTGGGTGACTTTCAGACATTCACTCCATGAGTGCAGCTGTACAGGGCTGCTGGAGGATTTTAGGATGTCCTAGATGACACTGGTGATCATTTCAACAAGCACTTTTGTGTGCTGTAATTACTTGTGCACTAGCAGGGAGGCTGTTTGCTGTAGTTTTCCTTGCCATTAAAAGCAAATTTATGTTGTGATCTTCAGCTACAGCTCATTATCTGTGGAAAAGTTTACAGTCAGATATTTCTTTGTTAACTACATGTGTGTGTATATAAAGAGAATGATTGCAAAAATTCTATAATTTTTATAGGAGGGCTTAATCCTTGCAGACTCAAAAGTGGTATAAAAGGTTATAGGCAAAGCAGGCTCTGACCTAAGTTTAAACCCCTCATCTTAAAGAAAGAGGAAAGCTATTAAGAGCTAAGTTCTGGGAAGCAGTCTGCCCTGGGA